TTATTGTCCTGCTTTGCAACAGATCTTGAATAATGATATTAGAATATTTCGAAAGTGATTATTAATGTTAGAACGATCTTTTGTTAACGAGTCTTGAGACATGTCTAAATCTTCGATTTTTCAAAATTTCTTAAAGCTTTTTTTTTTTACAAAGTAGATAGAATAATCAGTTTGCTATCTACCGATGTAAAGTCAATTAGGGTAAATGCTTGATCGATCGTAGCCATACCTGATCAACGGACGATAAGTCATGCAACATATGAACCAGATTACGGCGAGATAGATGTGTTATCAAATTCAATAAGAACTGTCAGTATTATATGTTGAATTTTTGAAAAATTTTTGAAAAAAGTTTTTATCAACAACCAAATAGATCTTAGAATATTATTTCGATTGATACCATCATTTTATATAAATGAATTTTGCAGAGTTTTCAAAGATCTTATTCAAAATGAATTTATTATTTAAAATAAAACTGATGATGACAATACGAATATTCGAATTCTCTTTTGTAAAAGAAAAGTTTGTCAAGACTTAAAACCTTAGAGAAGTCCATTGACACATTTTTCTGTTTAATTTGATGACGACGCTTCTATTTTCTAATTATCATGTAGGTTTCTTTAAGAAATAATGATCAACTTTAATTTTGTGTTGACTACTTCTGTTGTTGAAGTTGATTATACTTTATATGAGTATATTCGATGAATATATACATGAAAACATGAATGCATCCAAAGAATCAAATAAAGAATGCTAATCTTTTTCTTAATAGGAAAATTTAATAATTGACTTCTATTTATGCAGATAGAAATTTCGCATAGTAAACAAGTTTATGAATAGATTGTATTCTTTTGTATTTACTCTCGCATGATCAATGTATAATTTCAATTGGAAATCTTCAAGGTTTATTATCGAAATTGAAACATAGATGAGATAATAAATGATAACGAAAAAATTTCTTAAAGTTTGAGACGAATTTTTCAGACGTCTATTTTTGATACAGCAGCAATATTTAATGGTAGAAGTACTAAATTAACGCCGAATATAATTCAAGTTAGTTAATAATGAATAATATTTATCAATAATTTGTTTTCATAAAAATGCGTTTTAGGATTACAGGATCAAATAGATGAGCTTTAAATATATTGACTTGATCGATCATTCAATAATTCGCTATGAGGTTTTTGGTCTCTTCGTGCTAAATATTGAGAAATATCATAATAATAAAGTGAATCGTCAATGATATAAATTAATAGTTGATTTAGCAAGTCGGAAAATATGTGAACAAGATTTGTGCCATACTAGATATTTCTATTGTGTAAAATTTTACATTTAAATGTAAATCTGACATCATATTTTTCATTATATAAAAAATTAGAATAATGAATAATGCGTTATCTACCGACAAAGTACAGCATTACTTAGTCGTGGCCTTCGAATTAACCTTATCGAACTGTCGTAGTCACTATGTAATGAAAAGAATACATCTTTTAGAAAACAAGTATTCAAATTACCTTTACTAAAATACTGAAATAAAATCGGATCATATACATTTAATGATTATTCTACAATAATTTTACGTTTATAACGACAAAATACTTTATCAAAATCCTCAAAAGATTAACTCAGTGTATTCGAATAATGCTAATGAAAATTATTTAGCTGAGAAATAAATACAAAATTGGACAGTTGTATTGGAATCCATACTCAATGGACAAGAAAATTCAAGATTGTTTTGATATAATTTTAGCCATAGATAAATGAATACATCCCATGTGTTTCTAATGAAGACTACCGACAGATCATTTGATTATCATATATAAAATCACTTCTTCAAAGACGACGACAGCAAATTTTTTGTGCTCATTTCCTTAAAGTGTGAGGAGCTTTCGAAGTGATTTTGCCATGAGCTTTCATTTCTTTCTTTCTAGATACACACATCAAAAATTGTCATTTTATGTTATCATTTTCCGATCTTCAGTAGTAGCTTTAAGCTGTTTATAGGAAGCTCAACAAAAGGTTAGAGATATGACGGAGAAAAATTTTCTGAGAGTTTTAAAGGTATATATCATAGAATAAGAAATGTATATTAAGTAGATAGGAAATTCGATACAAAACTATAATCTTGAATAGATTCTTCACAACTACTATAAGATTTGGCTCATCTATTACCAAGACATCCATAAATTGAATATTGATAGAATATATGAATAAATGAGATAGATTTAGGAATATATAGAACAATTGATGAATTTTCTATTGAAACTATGCATAAATTATTCAGTATATCTAACGACATAAATATATTAAATAAATTTTACATCATTGCAAAAGAAAGCTGACGTTCTGAAACATAAACCATAATAATTCATTGATCATTTTATACATAATCGCCTTTTTTTTTTGCTGCGAACAAACAAGAAAAATGGCAGATGAATTTAATAGGATTCTTATTGAAACAACATTTTAAATACTAAAACTAATTATTTATTTAGTTTTTGTGTTCAGAAGATATCTAAGTGTAAAAATTTTTCCTTGACGTCGAAAACCAACACGATGCCTTATACCTGGCAGAGATAGTATTTAACACTTGAGACAAGTTGAATGGACATGTTGGATCAAGTAACAGCCTGATTGAGACTGTTCAGAATAAACTTTCAATACGAGCACCTGTTTCGATGTATCAAAATCAATACGTTTTTTGGCTTTCGGTTTGTCACAAACATAAAAATGGTTCCAATGAAATCCATCAATTAATAACAGGCTTCGTACACATAGTAAGTTTAGAATTTGAGAAATTTTTTGTTTAATATTTACCAATATTTGATTTACTTTTTGTAACTACTACTACTCCATTTCTTCTGTATGATGTTTACAAATATAGGTACAATACATATAACAAAACATGCAAGTATTTTACTAACATCATGAAAACAAAAACGAAATAATCTCCTTAAGATCTTGTTATTATCGGTTACATAAGCATTTATGCTTTCAACATGCACCATCAGTTATATCTACGTCGGAGTTAACTTTAAAATGTTAAATAGTAATTTTTTATTTGTTTGATAAATATCATATTTATTGAATAGATAAAGTTGAGAAAGAGGGATGAACATTGAACAAATACCTAGGAGTAATAGCTAAGAAAATCAAAAACAAAAGTTCTAATAGGAAAAGAGGATGTGAGTCGGTCTTAGTGTAGTTGTGTGATGAATTCCAAGTTCTATATTGGGGTGATCAATTTATACCTACAAAAATTTCTTAGATCAAGAAATAAATTCTAAAAATTTTAATTTAAAATAAATTAATAGGAAATTATCAACCCTAATCCCAAACTCACTCTTCATACACCCACACTCATATGAACGCGAAACAAATGAATGGTGTATATAGTTCAATGTTGTCTTAGAAATAGTGTTTTTTTCTTGATTATGTTTTGACTAAACTCCCAACATTCTTCAGCTAATTTTTGATTATAAGCTAATGAACTTGGTTTGACTTCTTCGCCGATGGGGTATTTTTGAGATAGTGACATTTCAAGATTTTGTATATTTTCGATGTGTATACCCTTGGATGGCTTTGTTCAGATTTTTTTTAACATTAGGAGCTTTTGGAAAAATAAAACTTATGCAGAAGGATAGAGTGTTTAATGCTGATTTCAAATATATAATTAGAATTTTAAAAATCTTTTTGTACGACAGAGAAAAATGTACTTCAAGGGTTCGAATATATCCATATTTTACCTCATTACCTGGACATAAAAATATAGGCCTATCTCAGGAAGTAAGAGTTCATTTGGAAAAACTGAAATGAATAAGTGTAAGCCAAGGTCCAATGTACAAAATAATAATATTAAAATAACATCTTATGGGGGTGGCAGATTTCGACTCTTATCGTGCGGGGTCCTTTCTTCACAACATATATTGAAGATGATTACCAGTTTATAGCATTAGAAATAAAATCTAGTAGTTTCAGTTTTTAAATACTTTTCTCAGCTGCTTACATTTGAAAGATTATCATTGGTCATACAAAGAGAACTATACTGCATCACACGTGTATTCGCGCTCGCCATCTAAATACGAGAAAACGTAACTTGCAGACGAATACATGAAAGAAGTTCTTAGAGAATAATCTATAAATATGAAGGTTTTGAAGTAAAGAACAATGAAATACATATATTTTCACTTATTCTATCAAACATATCAATTAAAGCAAAACAATTACTATTTCAATTTAATTAAATCTATTCAAAAAGTTATGAAAGCTATAACTCGATCAGTTTTAACTCACAGACCCCAATCGAAATCTTTCCGTGCTTGTTCGATGACATCGAACCATTTCATGCCAAAAACAACAGGCATTTGGTCGAGGGTGTAGATTGTAGAATCATTGTTTATTGGTTCCAGCTCTGGTAACTTGTTTAACCACTCGTTCAAGTAATTTATTTTCTAGTAGTTTCAGTCTAGAGAAAACAATTCTAGAATGTACTCTTATCATATCTAAAGTAATTCTTTCATACTAGTCTTTTTTATTTATTTAGTCGATGAATAGCACTTTTCAGGTCATCTCTTTTGAATTATGTTCTGATTAATATGATTTATAAGACAATTTGTTCAACACACTAGAATTACTTGAATTTCGCTTCCGGTTTCAGCAAGTTCTCTTTTGATGTGATTGTGATCACGCATATCTCTGGTTGAGGGTGGCCAAAAAAAGGTCTTAAACATATCGACTGGAAACATTACTTCCAAGCTACACTGATTTTTGGAGTTCTTCTGGAGGTATCTTTTCGAGCGCCTTTGCCTTGGTATATAAAATTTATATAGTATATTGAAAGATGGATAGGAAAATCATTTTACAGACATTTTCTTTCTGATATCGAATGATTTTTTACAATGATACTTCACTAGTTTACAATATCAAGTTTTTAATCATTATATGCATTTACCAGATGTTTTATTCGGTGTCTATAGTTCGACGGATAATTAATAGAAAAGTCAACTACGATGAAAAGTAACTGCTTGATTTGCCGATCTTTTATACTTTTTCATTTTTAATATTTTTTTGATTTTTCGACGAAAACCAACATTTGAAATGATTGATACATAGAAACTCATTGCGAAAAATATGTATGAAAATAAATGAATTAATTCAGTAAATACTTTTTCCCAAGCCAATCGTAATGGTGTTTTGTCGGATTGTTGTGTTATATTTGCATACGTTAATTGAGTAGCATACGGAACGTATGTTATAATGGCAATAAGTGATTCTAATATTAACATTGCCGTTAATTGTGTATCCATTTGATTGATTATTGAACTGTTTAGATTGACGACTGGAAGCACACTATTAACGGGTTGAATTCTTCGTCGAACAATTCTTCGAACATTTTTCATCAGTAGATAGGCCAATATAGAAATAACAATTACTGGTGAAGTTGAAGAAAATATCACCTGAAAGTAATTATCATAGAAAGCATAGAAACCTTCTATTGGACCACATATGCCATTGATGATTCTATATAAAATAATCCGATGGACAAGAAGAAGAAACCAAAAGAGTGGAATTAATATGACCATTAAATATGCTAGATAAACGCGATTACTCCATTTTCGATATTCTTAAATGAAAGCAAATACATTTAAAACAATCTAAGATAAATCTTTGGAAATAAAATTCAAATAAAAATTTCCAATGATTTTTTGTTTTTGTTAACTTACTATTTGAACGTTGTGTCGACAAAAATCGATCGATTATTGCAAATGCAAATAAGCTAAAACCAACTACATTACCCCATATGGTACTAAATTGTCGCAGTTTACAAACAATAATGAAACGATTCATGAGCGAAAAACGAAAACCATTTTGAATTATTCGTGTAAGTAATACAAAATTGAAATAATGAAAATCTGCCACTGCTGCCGAAAATAAATAAATTGAATAAGCTCGTTTACGAAATGATCGAGAACGAAATACTATCATGTTACCAATACAACCAAGATTACCTATTATCCAAAGAAATGAACCAAACCAAATATTGAGTTGATAGGGTGCAGCTAAAAGAGCATTGCTGATACTGTTTGTAGTAGTATTCATCTTTAATCGATTAATACGAAACAATTGATTTTAAATTTCTGAATTGCTGTTCAGTAAGGATTATTATGTCTTTCTTTGAAAAGAATCACTTGTTGAATGTAAGAGTGTTTTATCCACTCTCTTATAATTACAAAAGTGTTCATGACAGGTGTGCATTCTCAGCTAATTATGGTATCTATGTTCGTTATGAAAGACATTGTATACTCTTAATAGAGACTGACAAAATTCTTCTTTAAAAAATTCTCATATATAATTTAGATAGACGATAAACACTGAATGGATCATATTCAAAAGAAATACAATTTTTCTCTATAAGATAGACCGTGAAATTCTTAGTCATTTAAATATTCATTGTGATTTCAATACTTATAAGCTATTTGAATCATCATTGTTGTTTAATGATTTGTTAGTTATTTATTTTCGTAGAACATAATTTCAACAGATGCTATTGAATCTTCAACACTATCACAGATATTAAACCAGTCCTATTTAACGATATTGATGACTAGGTGATAAATTCTCATAGTTACTGAAATGCTGCCCGCTTTTTTTGAATCTTGAAAATCTTTCTATAAATTGCTATTCTATCCGTAGTATTGTTTAGCAATATGCCATATTAGTAGTTAATAAAACTTTGTAGTCGTTTAAGTATGTACTGACTGTTCGTTGAAGTTGAATGCTCTGTTGCGCAACGGTCTCTTATAATGAACATATGTTTCGATCCCAATCAGAATTGATTGAATCCTTAACTTGTTTTTAGACAATTCTAGCTATTTCAATAAGCTAGTTATTTATAGCCTTTTCAATGCACTCGATAGAGAAATAAAAAAGAAGGTAAACAAGTATTGAATTGTTCAAATAGCTGCTCCTTATGTAACAGCATTTGTTTAAATAATCTTTATCGTTGTATGTACTGTTGAAACTAAACATTATGAAACAGTTATCATACGGATTTAAAAGATTCGATAACTATTTATGAAAAAAATATATGCAAATTTTAAATAGTAAGTGACATGAAAAACAAAAAGAAAATATAACTTCCTGCTAGAAACCCATTGATCATTGGAATTATTTGACATATGTGTACATTTTTTTCAATCACTATGGAATCTTTCAAGCAGTATCTAACCAGCTATAGAGAGGAATTACGCAGTATCGATTATATCCAATAGTGTTGCAAATAAAATAGCTACTCGTGAAATTAGATTCTATGTAACTAAATAGTTGACAAGTATTTATAAATAGCAGAGTGTTCAATTAAAATGTATCTCTTTTGAGTAGCTACAATGGAGCAGATCTATGGCAGTTTTAAATGTATTTAGACTGATTCGAGCAAAGATCACATCGAAGAACATGATTATTTTGCCTTTCTTCGACATTGAAATGATCTTCAAAATTTAAACGAGCTAGAATATTTGTTTGAAATAACATAATAACAGCGCATTAATGTAAAGCACATGTTAGTATTGTAGAATAATTAAGAAAGAAAGTAAGCATAAAGAGAAAAACAACTCACTTGCAAAAAAATCTATTGGTAAAGATCTTGCCCTTATGCATTATTTCATATATCAAAGCCAGATTGTTGTCAACTGCAAAACATACATTAAGTAATTTAAAAAAAACAGAGATCATCTACACAAGCTTCTGTAAATGAGTTGCTATCTTGTTGCTAATAAAAACTCGCCATACCATACTTATTTACTGTGTAGTCCATTTCTGTATTACTCTATTTCTGATACAGTGGTATGAAGTAATTCATAAGAAAAGGACATAGTCATGCAAAAATTGAAAGAAGGATTAGTGTCGTCTGAAGCTGAGTTCTTATCTGAATTGTAGTCCATCATGCCGTCAACGACCATGTGTCAATAAGCTCATCCTTCATCATATTGCTTTTATCAAAGTTGAGTAAGATGCTCCCGTAATGCAAAATTCGAGTAGAATTTTGTTTCGGTTCATTTAAATATGATATGATAGCTCTTGAAAAGTTGATCACGGAGTGTGGGTATGAATAGAATATAGACTGGTCCATGACAAACGGACGCTTGTTTCTGTGTTGTCAGAATATTATCAGGTGAATTCTCAAAATATATTACATCATAGTCATGAGTTTCGATGCGTGTGGGTATGGATCTAACTGTCGCTTCTCTGTCTTCACACCCACACCCACACTGTAGCCAGTATAAGAACTCATTACATTCGGTATAGTACTCTAAGTCTACCTGTTCTCTAGTCACGCTGAAAAACTTATAACCAATTATATTGCTTTTCTCAATATGTGCTCAAAAATATGGTGTGGGGGGATGTGGCTTTGGAATGTGCACGTAGGTGTTTGTATTCTTCCCACCCACACCCACGCCCACCTCTCCCGTCCCCACTTACACCCACACACTTCAAAGCATATAAAGATGAGTATGTACTCTTGTGAAAAATCAATATTAACTGCCTGTAAGAATAGCTATGACAGTTTTTTTTTATTTTGAGGCTTTTTATTTATATATCCAGGAGTATAACTTATTCCAGTTTCAAAATGAAAAATTGTTTTATTTTTTTCTACTTTCCGTTGCTTTTTGATGATTTTTCAGTTATGTGTCTTTTTTATTTTGTCCTTGATTCAACTCGCGCAAATCGCTGTATCATATCATTTTGTACACCTGTGTTGTGTATGCAACTTTCTGTACGCATCATGTGTTGACTCGTTCGTAATAGAATGTGTAATTGAAAAATATCAAAAAAAAGAAGAAAATTAAATAGAACAACATATAGAAAGAAGTGAATAAAGTTGTTTGGTTGTAAAGGTAGAAATAAAAAAAGAATCATTCGATAAAACAAACAAGCAGTGTGAAATACACAATATCAAACCTAATCAACAGCATCTCAGCACAATTTCTTCATATATTAGATTTTTGTTTATTTCGTCGTTGTAAGTGACTTATTAGAATGATGCCAAAACCAGAAACAAACTTATAAAATAACCCACACATAAGATCAATATGATCTGTATATTAGACACGATTGAGACACATCTGAAATTGATCACAATGATAGACTTTTCTTTTGAACGATCGGTTAGTAAATGTTTATAAATTTGTAGTCTCTTTGATTTACTTGACTGTCTCCAACTCACAGTTATTTAATATTTTGATTAGTCTCCATTCATTGTCAATATCTATATATTATATAATTATTTTACTTCCTTTGTAACTGATGCTACGCAATATATTTAGCCAATCAAGAAATGAACTTTGAACTATCTGCTTATTTTAACTAAAATTTTGATTTCGATGGGTATAAAAATTCTAACAACACAATACTAAGATGTCCTTTTCTCTCTTCTTGTTAAGTTATTAAATCTTTTGAACTTTGCCAATATTATTTATTCCAATGATCTTGATCAACTTTTTTATTCATGTTTATTGATTTACTAATATGAAAACATAAGAATTTTTCTATATTCATATTAGTGAGTTATTTATCCGATAATATGGAGTTCATTAGACAGATGAATTACGAAATAATATAAATTTGATATAGGTTTTCATAGAAAAAGTCTATCCATGACATCTCTTGAGAGTCATCGTGGTTTAGTGAGTATGTACACTCTACTAAGGTACAGCTAGACCTATAAGAGACTACCAGGTGTCATTCATTTCCGTATGTATTTTTGTTATAATTCTATAGCAGTAAATGCGCACTATATGTGTGTTGATTGCCTTGCCATAATTTTCAATAACAAGTTTACGAATAAGTGTCTGCGCAATAGTATAATTATCGAGTGGAAAACCTTCTGCGTGGAAATGCCATGTCATGAAGCTGAAAGTGAGCGTCGGTGTAGTTTGTTCTTAAACTCACACTCTCACCTTTTAAATCGTGAGAAAATTCTCTTTTGTTCCTGTAACGATCCTGAATAGGATCATGATCGAATCCTGAGAGCATCCTGCATACATCATTTAGAAAAAAGTTGACCAGAAACTCGAAGAAAGTCTGGAAACAGAAATTATCAGGAATTGAGGCACGATCCTGAAGAAAACCTGGCAAGATCCTCGAGATTCAGGATCCTTCGAGGATTTCTCAAGGAATGAACAGGATTGAGACTTGAAATGTTCTGCATCCTGACATGCGCTTTCAAACAAAAAATAAAGTCCATAGAATGCAGGCCCTTTTAGAGATTTGCAAAATGAGCTATTTTTGATCATTGCTTGTTAAATATCTCTCGTAAAAGCCATAATGTAGGACTGAGAATTTTGCCATAGCCTCTTCACACCGATCGAGAGACAGAGGCGTACCCAGATCTCCAGAGCAGGAGGAGGCATAACCTTTGAAGAACTCAAAGTTTCGAAAGCAGGGGGCGTAACACCCCATTCGCCCCCCCTCGCTAGGTACGCCCCTGCCTAGAGATGGGACAAGTAGGCCGACCGGTCCGGTCTGACCTTTTCAGATCGATATAGTTACTGTTCTTCGAAAATTCGGACCGGTTCTATCTCTACACCAGCCCCAATAAATTCTGAAAGCTTCATAGAATCTGACTGTTCCTGGTTTAAGATCGTTTTTTGAGGACAAGGGGAGGGCTCAACTATTTAAGCAGTCTCAATTGCGGTAATGCCGAACAAAGAACACAACGAAGCCTCTGCTGCCTCCGAGAATACTCCTTCCCATAAGTCATACATGTCAAAGGAAGCCATGCCATTTATTGTTTCAGAGAATATAAAGAACGAGAATTTCACCATATTTCAAGTATTTAAAAAAAGACCTAATACAACAATTTTTCAATGACCACGGGGAAGTTATGAGAAAAAAATTAGCATCGCATATTTGTGTGTCCCATTCCCACTATATTACCTAAAATGTCGACTTCATTGCTTGAAATTTATTAATCTTCTAATTACATTCACTAGAGACAGTTGATAGTCAACATGTTTATAAAAAGTGTAATTTTATAGGTTTCTTCAGTACTAATTAAATGCATTGAACAAGAAAATAAAGAACCACTGTAAGTTATACTTGGATCATGTGCGAAATCAAGCAGTAGCGAGTGGTAGTCCAAAAGGATGTCGACGGCCGAATTCGAGTGGTCCCTTAAGGTTTACATTATGAAATCTTAATAGAAATGTCTGAACTTTGTTTTTACAAATTTTTCATTTGAGCATACGTGTTTAGCAATAGTTTTCAAAACAGAATCCAGAAAATGATTGAGAGATAATGGTTAGATCGAATTCAGTCGAGGGTCAAATGAGTGGTGGCGACGAGCATTACCTGTTCTTACGATGCTACACTATCGACTAATCAATACTTGCAATAAAGTTGAAAAAATTGTTTGATCGGAGTCGATAAATAGCGAAGTTGTTTTCTTGTGTATGCTTCTCTAAATAGTAAATTTAGGTGCATTCATTTTTTTGCTACACTCCACTTCCATTATTCCATGTTTGCTCATGAAATTTAGTATTTCATAGGTTATAGATGAATGAAGACCGTTAACAAATCATGACTTTCGCACATCCCGATGCTAGCGACTGATAGTGTGGTTGTGTGCTAAAAGAAAGTGTCCTTGTATAAACTGAAAAGTGTAACATCAAGTACCGAATCGAAAACAAAAATTTTGTACGCTATGAAATATAATCGAAAACGAATCAGAGATATAATGCCGTGTATTTTCGTTCGTCTACTAGATAGAAATAATAGAAAGAAGAAGTATTATGGCTCAAGTACTAGTATTTCCAGCTGGTTTGGCAGTCGCCAACGAAATATGTGCCTCATTAAGAGGAAAAGATATTGTATCTAGTCTGATTGGTCTATCTTCTGATGATGAAGGCAAAGATCTTACAAATCCATTCCACTATGATCATGTTTTTTACAATGCTCCAAGTGTTCATGAATCAGCTCTGGAGATTTGGATTGAATACCTGAGCCGATTTGAATGGACGCATGCTGTTCCTACAATGGACTCCGCCGTTTATCTCTTCAGCAAACTTGCTTCCTATTTCCCTGGAAAATGGTTTATGGCTCCATCTTTAGAAACTTGTGAGATCTGTTTTTCTAAGCGCAAGACTTATATGATGTTGCCTTCTGTTTCTCCAAAGCTTTTTGACTATTGCAAATGCACACAATGGTACGCAAAACCTGACGTGGGATGTGCAAGCCGAGGATGCAAAGAAGTGACTTACGAAGAGGCGCAACAATTACACAAGGATTTATATTGGGTTGTTTGTGAGCGAATCGACGGGGATGAATTTACTGTTCATTGTTACTCTTCAAGAATAATCGGTGCGCGCAAACGAACAATAACAAAAGCCGGCATAAGCATGCTGACGCACAACTCAGTCCCTTCTAGAGAAATACGTCAAATTTTCGATCGCATCTTAGAGAAGATTAAACACCCACCAGGACCATGGTTTTTTCAAATTAAAGGTAGTCATTTATTGGAAGTAGAACCACGAATTCCAGCTGGTGGTTCTGCGGCAAGATATTTTTGGAACCATAATGGTATTTTACAATGGCTCTATGATGCAATGGCACAGTCATTATCGGCATCAAAACCTATTCATACAAGCAGTTTGAGTTGCTCAAAAGCAGTTCCAATTCGAGCTGTTTTAAAGTCCTACCAAGACCATGTTTTCTTAGATGAAGAACAATTTGATTTGAAAGCTATTGTCGTTGGTTATGATGATACATTATTTGATTTGAAAATGAATGACGTTGACGCAGACCTTATTGGAGCTCTGTATGGTATTTATCGACTATGTCCTATTTATCTGGTAACACGACATCATGGCGACTTATTATCACATATGAAAAAGAATATTATTCCAGTTCAGTTGTTTCACAAGATAATACATGTGCCTGACGAGAAACAAACAAAATGGGAAGCATGTGTTCTTTTAGGAGAAGAACGCAACCACGCTATACTCATCGATGATAGTTACCGTGAGAGAGAAGAATGGCAGCGTTGGTCCTGCGATCGAGATGAGGGTGTAACAATCATTCGCTCATGGAAACTCAGCAATCAGAAACTATCTAACACTTCAAGAAAACATGAAATCGAAAACAATTAAAACACGTCATCTCGCCACACAGAGCCAATCGTTCATAATGTGATAGAACTATCTTTTCACCACAAACAACCAATAACGAACGCACTTCTTACTCCTGTACTCTGACTGAAAAATAACGTATGATGTAAAAGAAATGGCACAAAATGTTGATCAGTATTTCACTTCGATTGAAAGGTGTTGAAAGAAAACTGTTTTTACCAAAATATAGCTCTTTTTCTCCTCTTTCGAATGGTATATCATTTATTTTGATACTATGTCTATAAATGAAACAACATAATAAAGAACAGAGATACCCTTTAAAAAATTCTGCACTTTTTGTAAAATTCTGAAAACCGGCACAAAATGTTGGCTTTTATGTTTCTTGGATAGCTCTTCCATAAACATGTTTGAAAAAAGAAAGTTTTCGAACAAGTTAATAGGAAATTTTCTCCTCTTTGGAACAGTGTAAGATTTATGTTTGACACATGTTCATTAATGAAATGAGACTAGAATGAAAGAAAAACACTCGCAACGTGAATTTGTAATTGTTGTATGAACTTATCAAGAAAACAGCTTGTAGATGACAATTAATTATAATTAACTGCCATCTGGAAGATGGTTTTTAGGGCTTCGAAAAAGTGTAAATAATCAAGTTTTGGAAGATCTTTTTAAAGAGTATAAAATATCGAATTGATCATTGTCTATCAAGATACTATCGATGATTTGATATTGAATATTATGAATTGTTTGCGTGAGTGTTTCTCTTTTATTCTGATCTCATTTTATTTATGAACATGTATTAGATATAAATCATACACTGTTTCAAAGAGGGGAGAATTTCCTAATAACTGGTACCAAAACTTTCTTTTTGAAACATGTTTATTGAAGAGTTATCCAAGAAACATAAAAGGCAACATTTTGTGCCGTTTTTTTGGATTTCACCAAAAAGTGCAGAATTTTTTTAGGAATGTCTCTCTTTTTTATTCTGTTGTTTCATTTATGGACGTAGTATAAAAAATAACTTATATACCATTCGAAAGAGGAGAAAAAGTGCTATCTTATGATAAAAAAAGCTTTCTTTCAACGCATTTCTATCGAAGTGAAATACTGATCAACATTTTTTGCTATTAATTTTGCATCGTACGCTACTTCCAGACAGATATGTTCTATACGTTCTCAATTCTCATATTTCAACTTCTCACTCGATAAAAGAAATTTCATGTTGTACCTTTTTGTGTTCCAGATTTGGGTAGCATTTTCTGAATATTTCAATCTTCTAGTGTAACCGGTTTATGTTTCGAACCATTTTTAGCATAGGTGTAGGTGCCGGTTTTGGAAGTAAGTGTAGGATAGGTGTGGGTGAGTTGTGTGTGTAGGATGTGAGTGCGGATAGTTCTTTCATCTACATCCACAATCAAATGCACAATCTACCCATACGCACAACTCACACCCATACCCTACCCTAATCGTTATCAGAGAGGATATGAAAATGGACATTACTAATTTCATGAAAAGAGAAACTGATATACTTTCGTAATATCGACAAAAAAGAATGTCTCATTCATCATCATATATATTTCTATTCTAGATAACGATAATTTATCAATAATGATAAGACTCTTGTCAATCAACTTCTTTTATTTTTTTCTTTCATACTTCGAACTTCTTACTTTCTGTTAAATAAGCTTTTGTTGTATTTGAAATAAACACCATAGGACATATGAAGTACCTCAATTAAGATTGTCGTTTCGTATGAAATGATCGATGCCACTCATATTTTTGACAACAACATACGTATATAATCAAAATAATTCGTTAGTACCACAACTTTATAAAATCAAAACATGTAATCTTAGAAAGATGACCTTTCATAGACTTAATTTTTATATTTTTCATGAATGCTAAGTCAGTCTAGATATCCTGAAAAAGCCGAACGCTATGAATCTTTGTTCAGAGGAGCTATCGCTAAAAAAAAGGTAGCGTTAGCGATGTGATAAAGTAAGAATACACATGCGAGAAGATGTTCTCATAATTTAATGTAAAGTTCGAAATCGATTTCAAATGATATAAACCGTTGCTCAAAGTTCCTAGATAATGATAAAACAACAGTTTCGTTCCTTTCCTTAACAAAAACTTTAGAAAACCGTTTTTGGAACTGAATATCACTGCAAATTTTACCATTGATGCAGCTCATATCGTAGAATCTATCTTGAAGTTTTCAAATTTTTTTGTTATATGATTAAGGATGTATTGACTAATTACTTTTTAATTAATCATCAGGTAAAAGTGCCAAGGTTTTCATATAATGCTATATTACATGAATTTATTCAGAAACACAGCCACTATAGAGGATTAGACTCGAGTGAAACGAGTGTATGTCCCGTTCTACCTGATTTTGTTCATACATAAATGTCAGAAAAAAATCAGCTTAAGCATAAAGGAAAAATATTTCATATTGGTTTAAAATTATAAACAAAAAAGAAATAGCAAATAAGAAACTATAAAAAGCTGAACATAAGTTAAAAACATGTAAAGATTATTAGAATAAATGAACAATTAGATTTCTTGCATGAGTGAAGATTTTTTTATTTCAATAAGTTTGATTAATTTCAAGGAATAATGTAGGCTGACAATCTACAAAATAGAGAAACTACAATGAATAATATATATGAGATAAATAAAACACTTACTATAAGAATAAATCCAATAATGACTTCAAGAATATCTAAGAAATTGAGTTCTATTTCAGCGATTGTCCAATTATTTATCTGTGTATCATTAGTTTTTGTGAAAAAAATTATAAACATAATAATACCGTGATAGAAGATAAACAAAATTCCAATACTCATGAGCACAAGTATAACTATAGTGAGGTAAGTAAACTAAAAGTCAAAGATAAAAAAAAATCAGTTTAAATTCGAACATTGTTTTGAAATATCATAGATCCAATCAATTATTTTGATCTATTTTCAAGAAGTTTTCAATATCAACGTGTAGATATAAGATCTCAAAATATATATAACTTTCTAAAATAGTTTTTAAACAATCATACTACTATAAATAGGAATATATTGAGATTGACAAAGATTTTATGTTTTTATCAGACGCTATAGAAACTTTCGACCTGCCATGAGAAAAATTAAGAATTATTGTTTTTTAAAGCGATTTCTGAGATACTTTCATAAATATACATAATGTGATTATGGATTAACCGATCCTATAGCTATTAAGATTAGATTGACAAAAAAAAACCGACAAAATCTCCTGTTAAACTTCAAACAAAGAGACAATTCATACCACTTGTAAAGCTGTTTTAGAATATCGACAAGTAGCTAATAATCCAAAACTGTAGAAAAGAATTGAAACAAGGTGTAGACCAATTCGTAGAGCTACTTCAGTTTCGTCTTGAGCATAGAAGTGGGCGCATAGAATAGCTGCAATAAATGTATCAAGGATAGCAAGTACCTAAAGATATTACTATATAATATTAATAAAAAGAAAATAAATGCGTCAAATAAATAAGTATTCCAACATTGAAAAGTTCTCCAATAGTCTGAATAGCATTTGACAAAGAAACTTACAGATTTAGTCCAATTATAGTTACTTTGATTAGTATCAAATGAGCTGTTTTTTTCGTCAAGATCTCGACTCGACTATATTCAAAAAATGACTGATCTCTTCAAACAACGAAAACAGCCGTCCATCGTATTCTTTTCTTCCTTCACCTGTACATTCTATGTATGTGCTGTCTACGTCTTTTTTATATCGAATATTAGAGCAAAAAAACAAAGTGTTTCTAAAAACTTGTCGTAAAATACTTGACTCTATCTCTCTAAATATTTATAAAAGAACCAATCATTTGTAAATATTCCTCAAATTCTTTATCTTCTTGAGTGGTTCGTTTAAATGTTATTAATAAGCGTTTGTTATTCTTATTGACATCAATTGCAAAATAAAAATGAAAACTTACAAGACACACGCCAAGTATGATCAGAAGAACTTTTCGAGGTCGTCGTAATTCAGGATATTCATTGAGTGACACTAATCTCGAACTAGACTTGCCAGCATCATTAATCAGCTTCACATTTACGTTTCCCTTCTCATAATGCATGTTAATAATATACAGGTTAATCTATAGAATAAAAGACACAAGAGTTGGAAATAAATTTTATCGTGTTGAGAGAGAGAAATAAGTGAAGAAAATATATCAAATATTATATTTTTAGTCTTCCTTCCAACCGAATATGTGTGTTCTATAGAAAAGTAAAAAGCCAGAACACACTGATAATGTGAATACAATGGTATGCGCACAAAACAGAATACCAACGGGTATTATTCTATATATGTAAAAATGAGTGTATAATTAACAATTTTTTTTTGTTATCATCAAATGCTACATGCAATAGTCGTGATCAAAAGTGTCTTTTTTTTGAATTTCAATTATTCCATGCGAACATAAAAACGAACATTTTTCTTGATATTATTACAGAACATTTCGTTTTGTTTAAAATTTTGTCTTTTGAAAATAATTTCATTCTGTCGTCAATCACATACAATTGTCGACATATGACTATCAGAAAAGATATTTTGAATCCTCGAAATTGTTTATAGGATTGTGACAATGAGTTATCAAACACATTTTGTTTAAAATCTAAGATTTCAATCGAAGGCGGCAAAATTATATCACTTGAGTAAAATCACACTAATCACTTTTTCAAACCGAAATCGAATTGATACCAAAACAGAAGAGTTTATCAAATGTTCTAAACGTCGAATATCAAGGAGGTTTTTCTCTAATTTTCATTGATAAAATGCATGACACAGCTATCAGAAATTGAAACAAGTTGGCATTAATATTGTCTAAACCAAAAAAAAAAGGATTTTCGAGCAAAGTTAAGAAAAAGTCAAGATAAACAACCACTTTCGATTCTTTGATTATATGTCTGTATATATTCTTTATATGTACTTTTCGTGTGAATAAAAACAAAACAACAATCACCAGTAAAACAGGAGTAACATAAAAGTTCAGTTTTTTCAAAATACTTGTTGAATATTTGTTTAATGTCATTTTATTGAGTAATCTTTGAAATCCTATAGTTTTAGTATTTCGAACTCTTAAATGATTACTTATGAATGTTTCATAGCAGAAAGAACGATTGCAAAAGAGAAGAAAAAAAGTTGATTATAACAAAGTTATGTCGTTTGAAGACAGTATTGTTTTTAATCTTGGTTTTGATTTTAGTGTTGAGTATCTTCACCTTCATTGACGCTACTATTCAAAATATTCGTGAATTTGTTCATTAATTTATTATCATCCGATATATATACTACACATGTAGTGTCACAGATATTTGCCAAGATAAAGAAAATTTTTAGTTATCATAGTTTTGAGTATGAGAAAAAAACATGCGATACTTTTCTTGATCCGCAATTTAATGATATTATTCATATTGATGCTGATTTGGTCAATAAGAAAAAATAAACATTTAGATGGTATTTGGATACATAATGAGTATACATGTTGGTCAATGTGGCTCCACGTACATTTCATGATTGTGGCAATTAGGTAGATTATTTGGCTACCTTTGCCTGTGATCATGTTCTCGATGTATACTATCATTCTTAATGTGATTATGAAATATAGAAATAATAATTATCAGCATACATAGTTCTACATAGATTTAAACAAAACAACTCACGTGAAAGCAATATTTAGAATATTGTTTTATTCAGACTATTTTGACTAATAAATTTTCCTCTCATTCTTCCTAAGGAAAGTGTCTACCAAAAATCTTTAAAAATTGTGTTTTTTCTTCTATTACTATTTAATAAAGAAATAAATTGCATTTCCAATTATATTAACCAACGCAAACTAAATTACAGAAGCACGTGTTATAATTAATCCTTGATGATCGTGCTATACATGTTAAACTTCAAAAGTTGCTTTCAACTTTCAATTTTGACATTATTGCTCTTTCCATCTTAGTCTGTTTCTTTCAAATATTCAGTATGTTCTTTTTATTAAATTTACAACACAGCATATTGAGAATTAATACTTCTGTCATAAAATACGTTTCATGATATCGATGTATGGTGTCAACAAAAGATAGATGACACTTATATTGCCATCGACCATTCAAGATAATTTCAGTGCATGCATTCATTACAATCTGCACATGACTTAGACATGTGCTCAAACACTTATCTGTGAATAGGAATATCAGGAAGTCAGGACACATCTTGAGGCATGCATGTGTGCAAACACATAACAAAAGTGTTTGTCTAGAAAATAGATTTGCATGCTTTCTTACTTAAATATTGTATGTTCAAGGGAATGGATGTCATTTCTGAAAAAAAAACGAAGATGCAGGAAAGTATATCCGAGAATTTGCCGCAACGGTCAACTGAACTGACAAACACCAACAAAAGGTTCGTACCGATAAATTTATATAAATGATTGACTTATTTCATGTTTAGACGTTTTGCCTTAATCGTCCTTGCAATTATTATTGGAATATGCATTATAACAACGGCCATCGTCGTATCTATCGTTTTAACTAAACAGGCCAATACAACTGGTATGTTGTTTTTGTAAGAACAAAAATACATGATAATATTCTCATCGAACCTAAGAAATATACCAGCTCATCACATTTTCAACACTCGAAAAGATATAGAGACACTAGAAGCTACTATAATTGGTGCTCGACTGCTAAAAAATACTGAAGCAACTAAGATAAGAACTGACCATATTTTACATTATTTTTTCAATTGGAAAGAAAGTTATAAAAGATCTTGATGATTCGACTTTTTCTTAGTATGATAAATATAATTATGAACCAAATATTAAAACTTCAACAGTTACTAGGACTTCCTCATGACTATTATGTTGCTAATTGATATACTTATTTAAGTGTCTTTTTTTCTTCTATGCTTAATAGTATCGACTACAACAACAACGTGGATCACAACCACGACCACAACAATGACGGCAACAAATTTGACTACAACCACAATTACAATGACAGCCTTTTCATGTAAGCTTTGTCTCATTTGATATTAAATCCCGACTAAAATTACAAAATCGTCTCCGTGAATCCAATTGTTTAGTCACTCCAGATCAATTTACAATCTAGAGCAGACAAAAGCCTACAATTACATGCACTCAAGCATTCTGTATACTAGTAATGGAACCAAGACTTTGAGCTTGGTGAAATGAGTGGAGAGCTGGTTAGCCGCAAAATTTTTTAACTTGCGTAGGTTGTACTTTTTCTTGTATTTTCAAACATTTTGAAAGTTCATTGTACTTGAGAGTACTCCAAGAATATGTCTATGTTATTCTCAAAAATTGTCTAGCTATGTCAAAGTCTGTTGTGTACTTGAGAATTCGAGTATCAGTGAAAAACGATGGAGCATTTGGGCTTTATTGCCAGACAACCGTATATAAAATAAATTCACACAAATTGATAATAGACTTGAAATATCTAAACAGTGCTGGAGTACGATGAAGCAAGAGTGAAGTACAGAATTTCCACTTTTTTCTCTTAAATTAATAACACGAAAATGAATACATTAGAAATAAATACCTTCAATCTGGTATTCTAATTTTCGGATAGAAACCAATATTGACACGTCTTACTTCCGTGATCCGATGCATCCTGAAGAGCTTTTGCTTTGAAACGTTTTCACTGGGATGTCTTGTTCTCGATCTTCAATGGAAAACTAGTTTGTAATTTTTTTAAGTCAGACGTCTAGTGATAAAAAATAATTCCCATTTATCTATTCGCGAGAAATGAGAAAAGATATGAAGGATGATTAACATCTTTTCTACAATGAGTTTTTGCCTTTTCCGTCTCCTGTCAGAATTGCTAGGATAAGCACTATATTATCGGTTAGGAAGTGCCTTTCTTTACAAGACTCTGCTTGTTTTTTGAAATTTGAATTTTTTTTATTTCTAAATTGTTTGTTTACAAAAAGAATCAAAATATATGAGTTTTTGTGTCCTGAACAGACGTGAATGGTTTTTCTTACGTGAGATAACAGATTTAACCTTCGAAAAAAAAGTAGGTTTGAACATTGGTCGCGATGCTTTTTGTTTTCTAGCATCTTTTTCCAAAATGTGTGTTGTTCTAATGGAAATGCATCGGATCTGAAAAGTTCCCTTAGATTTTAATCAAAGCGGTCTCATTTGATAGAAAAACGAAACATGAAGAGATTGCAGTACTATTTTAAAAGATTATTGCTCCTGAGTTGATGTGTGGATTTTTTTCAATGCCTTAAGTACCAATAGATTCAAAATCGACCAACATTTTACTTTTATGACAGTCTACGCGACTATTTTGATTTGGAATTTCCTTTTGTAGGTTTCTCTAGACGCTGAGCTAATTTTCGTTTCAGCATTCTGTTGAAAAATTGTGGATTATGGGTAGTTTTCAGAGAATACTAGAAATACTTAATTAAATGATATATATTTTATTTTACTTTTCGATTGATGCTTAATTTTCAAGATGTCATTTGAAACATTATTATTAACGATTATGTGAAAATTTGATGCGTAGTAAATTAAAATATTTTGTAAAATGGTACTTAATTAAAAATTGATCATTCATACTTTATAAAATAGATCTCAGTCATCATCTAATCGGAATTGATAGAATCATAAAAAGTTCATGCCAAATTAAAAGTATTCATGAAGAAGCCACTTTTGAAAAATGTATAATGAACACAATCTTTGTAGTCTTATTTCGCTTCCAATATGAATCTAAATTCCAAAGAAAGTTTTGAAAGCGCCGTCTTAGTTAATGACATCAATTTTATGTGCAAAATGAATAATTCTGCTAATCCTAATTATGCTAGGTTTATGAAATACTAGCGAGAGCCCGTGCATACTGCACGGATGCTTTTTTTCCTGTGAAGTTTCACTTCTGTCCTTTAGCCTTGATTGGAAAATAGACAAAAACCCAGTTCCCATTATATATACATATAGAGATCGTACAGCCTGATACCCTTGTAGACTCATACTCTTGTTGTAGTACTTCTTTTAGCCTTATTCCGTTATTTCCTTATCCCTTATATCCTTTCCAGCCTTGTCCATTTATACCATATACCCTTATCCCCTTACACTCTTTTAGCTATATCTCTTATGCCCATGTAGCCTTAGCCTCTTATCCCCTTTACTCTTATATCCTTATCTCCTTATTCCCTAATCCTTTATAGCCTTATAGCCCTTGTGGACCTATGGGTACCACAATACAATAGCCCTTGAGGACCTGTGGCTTCCTCATTATAATAGTCCTTCAGGACCTATGGGTACCCTCATAGGATAGCCCTTGAGCACCTATAGGTACTCGCATAGGATAACCCTTGAGGGCCCAGACGTACCCCCATAGAATAGTTCCTGCGGACCCAAAGATACCCCCATAGAAATAGCCCTTGAGGACCTATGGGTATCTCCGTATAATAGCCCTTGAGAGCCCAAGGGTACTTCCATATAATAGCCGTTGAGGACCGAGAGGTACCTGCATATAATAGCCCTTGAGGTCTCAGGGGGTACCTCCATGTAATAGCCCTTGAGGACCTATGGGTATCTCCATACAATGGCCCTTGAGGGTCCAGGGGTACTTCCATATAATAGCTCTAGAGGACCTGTGAGTACTTCCATATAATAGCCCTTGAGCACCTATGGGTATCTTCATGTAATAGCCCTTGACGGCCCAGGAGTACCCCCATAGAATAGCCCTTGGGAACCTATGGGTATACCCATACAATAGACCTTGAGGACCTATGGGTATCTCCATATAATAGCTCTAGAGGACCTGTGAGTACTTCCATATAATAGCCCTTGAGGACCTATGGGTACCCCCTAGGATGACCCTTGAGACCTATGGGTACCGCCCTAGGCTAGTCCTTGGGGACCTATGGGTACCCCCTAGGATATCCCTTGGGGACCTATGGGTACCCCCATAGGATGGCTCTTGAGAACCTATGCGTACCCCCTAGGATGACCCTTGGGGACCTATGGGTATCCCCATAGGATAGCCCTTGAGAACCTATGGGTACCGCCCTAGGATAGTCCTTGGGGATCTATGGGTACCCCCATAGGATGGCCCTTGAGGACCTATGCGTACCCCCTAGGATGACCCTTGAGGACCTATGGGTATCCCCATAGGATAGCCCTTGAGGACCTATGGGTACCCCCATAGGATAGTCCTTGAGGACCTATGCGTACCTCCTAGGATGGACCTTGAGGACCTATGGGCATCCCCATAGGATAGCCCTTGGGGACCTATGGGTACCCCCATAGGATGGCCCTTGAGGACCTATGGGTACCGCCCTAGGACACCCCTTGAGGACCTATGGATATCCCCATAGGATAGCCTTTGACGACCTATGGGAACCCCCATAGGATAGCCCTTGGGGACCTATGGGTACCCCCACATAATAGCCCTTGGGGATCTATGAGTCCCCCATAGGATAGCCCTTGGGGACCTATAAGTCCCCATAAATAGTCCCTGGAGATCTCCCCTTATAGCCTTATGTGACCTTTAACCTTTGACCTTTGACCTTTAACTTTTAACCTTTAGCCTTTGAGCTTTGACCTTTAACCCGACACAGACAGACAGACAAACACACAGACAGACACTGAACATTATATATAGATGAATGATCAATTTTGTTTCAAAGTTTGTGACACTTTTTAACAAAGTACCTTTTTACAAAATATTCGTACTTACTATCCGTCAAACTTCCATCCATAATCTTTTGTGACACTCTGTGATTTTTAAATCTTTTATAAAGTTTTGTAGAGAATCAATCGAAAACCAAAGAAAGTATGCTCTGAAAATTATCCATAATTCATAATTTTCTTGACAGAATGCTAAAATGAAAATCGGTTAAGTGCGTAGAGATATATTTGATCTTTTCAATATTATGCTGTAAAAAGAATTCCAAGTCGAAATAGTCTTGTAGGCTATCATGAAAGAATAGGGTGAATCAAATTATAAACAGTTGAAAAAATTCATTCTCTAATTATTTGACCAATAACCGTAAATGAGAAGCATGATTTCACTACAGTATGGATGAAATCAAGCCATAACGAGTGATGTTGTTACTGAGATATGAACTCACCAAAAACCTCACTCTGCTTATTGATTTATTGTGAAACGAATTTTACTTATATACATTAAAAAAATCATATCTCGACTCTGAAGCAAAAAATAAACAAGAAGTAATATTATAACCTATTAATTTTTCATTTCCTCTATTAAATAAGACTGTTTTGATAAAGATCTGTCAGTATTTGTGGAAATAAATGCATTTTTGGCGTTATATTCGCTTTTCCTATTCATTTATTACTGTTTTCTCAGGTAATATTGAATTGATAGAATATTTAGTTTCTAAACTAGATCAAGTTTCTATTTTCAACAATTGTATGGATTCCATTGTTCAATGGAGACTGATGATTGACATCCAAAGCCGAGGTTGAGTCCCTAAATGATACTAATATTTAATTTTGGAAGCAAGGACTTGCTGAAACGCTTGAATTAGCCCATTACTGACAAGCAGCCATTTTCTACTATTGCAGAAGCTTGAACATAGTGGCAAAACGTGTTGAAATGATAGCCACGAGATAGATTTGTTTTTTTATTGGATTTCTGATAAAATAATTTTCAATTAGAAACTCAGTGTTGTAAGATCACTGTTAGCTTGAAAGCCGAAGTTTTGTTTACATAGAAACAAAGATGTTCACATAAGTGTATCGATACTGCTAATTCCATATCTGTACAAGATCTCTGTTGTTGTGATTGTGCAGCAACATGTAGATCAATCTCTTTCTGATAGGAACGATCAATAGGTCCCACTTGAAAATTACATGATTCACCAATCAATACTTCTTGCCAGGTTGGTCGTACACAGGCAACGTGAGTACTACACGAGCTGATCACTTTGCATCAATCTTAACAAATGGCATGGTTTTAATTAATGGTGG